CGCTCGCTCACCTCACTCTCCCGGGCGAGGCCCCCCGAGCCCCCTCACCTTCCCGCACATGCGCACAAAGCTCACCGGGACTCCATGCCCCGGCAGGCTTTGCGCCAAACTCACTAGTCTCCCCGGCTCTCCCCACCTCACCCCGCGTTGCCCTTTCGGCCAGCAACTCGGCGTCTCTGGGCCCTCACTGGGAACTACATTTCCCAGGAAGCATCGAAGGAAAACGAGCTTCCCATTGGCTCTTGTTGTGCGTCCCGCCTTGCGTCCCTCGCTCCAACGCCAGAACTACATTACCCAAGATGCCTTGAAGCCCAGCCTGCGGTCTATTGGCCCTGAGAGATCCAGGGCTAGGACTTCGTTTCATATACATTCTTCATACGAATCTTTTCTATTGGCCGACTTGCGAGCCGCGAGCATGCGCAGACGTCCTAAGGGCGGGAGTGGGGGAGGGGGAGGCCGCCCCAGCTGCAGTTCTGGGCCAGACCGCAGAGCTGGCCGCGTCTGCTTGACGGGGCCACCGTTTCCCCGCCTCCCAGTCTGCCCATCTCAGAAGTGGGCCGAGGGGCTAACACCGGTTAGGGCCGCGCCTGCCTCTCCAAGCCTGGCGCTGGCCGCTGCTTGTGAGTGCCCCGGAGCTGCGTGTCCCCCACCAAGGTAAGGGCGCTGCGCAGAGATGTGGCCCCGGTCCCCAACTGGAGTTAGGTAGAGGGAACTTGTTGCTGCGCTTTCCAGATTCTTAGAGAGACAATGAAGTTTTCCCCAGGCTTTAGAGGTTAGTGGCCTACCTAAAGTTGGTTGCCAACCTACTCGCCGAGGCCCAAGTTGTGCTGTCCCGTCTGTCCCGCTCCCCTCTGCTAGTGTGTTCCAGTCACACGAGCCTCTTTTTCCTAGAACTCCCGATTCTGTTTTGTTTATTTGTTTCAGTACTAGGGACTGAACCTGAACCCAGGGCTTTCCCACAGCTATATGCCCATCCCTTTTTATTTTTTGTTTCAAGATAGGTTCTCACGAAGTCGCTAAGTTTCCCAGACTGGGCTCCTCTTGCCTCAGCCTCCCAGAGTGCTGGGATCACAGCCTGTGTACCACCGGTCCCCGCTACCATTCTACGCGTTTAAACATTGGTGTTTCTGTACAACTCACCACCATTCACCTCAGAACTTTTTCATCTTGCAAAAGCGAAATATTCCTGGGGATCAACCCCCAGGTCTGGTATGCTCAGGGTGATGCTCTGCCACGGAACTACATCCACATCCTACTTCCTGCCTCTGTGGATTTAATCTAGGTAAATTTCATACATTCGTGACTGACTCATTTCATCTAAAATACTGTCGTCCGGGTCTTTCCTGATGTAGTGTATGTTGGAATTTTCTTCCTTCTAAAGACTAATATTCCATTTGTGAATAGCCAACATTTTGTTTACCCGTTGGATAAATTACCTTTTCTAGACTTTAGATAGAGTCATCTCTTCTGCTTCCCCTTACCCTGGCTGCCCAACATACTGCCCCTGCGTGCTGTCTGAGCCCCTCAGAGCCAGGTTCCTCTCCGTCCATGGAGCCTTAGTGCGGAGCTGCTCAGAGCTGCGGCTCAGCCACCAGACTGAGAGGAACATGTCAGCGGCCACTTCCCGCTTGGCCAGGTGCCCGTGGGTTGGGAACAGGGTTCACGAAGGCCAACACCGCTGTCCCAGTTCCTCACATGCTCCAACACTTTGGCCACACTTTGGCCACCACCTTTCCACTAATACGGTTTTCAGAGCCAGGCCCAGACCAGCTGGGTAGCATCACCTGTTAGACACACACAGGCCTGGCCCCGCCTCAGCCCCACTGAACCCGACAGTCTGGGGTGGGCTTGAGCCTGCCTGGGTGCCTCAGGAGTAGTCACGACTGCGCTGTGATCTTGGGAGGACTCATGGGTCTGTTTCTGCAAAGCACACACAAGGACACTGCCTGCGGAGACTAAGGATTCAGTAAATGTCATGGCTCGTGTTCAGAGGGGGCTTGGGGAAAGTGGTGACAGCAGCAGGGCTCTGTGCTCACCCCAGGGTTCCTTTATCCATGAGTTTGTAGATAAGAATGCTGATCAACACCCAACCCACAGGCACCTGGCTGAGCAGGAAGGAGCCTGGGTGGGCAGTGCTGTCCCTCTCCGGCTCTCACTGCCCTCCTGACTCAAGCTGCTTTTCCTCTGCTGTGCTGTGTCTGCCCTGGATCCGGATGACCAGGAGCTGAACAAACCCTCTGAGCCCGTGAACCAAAATAGACCTCTCCTCCTTAAGTTGTGGGTGTCCCCATTGTTCCCCAGTGGTGGGAAAGCTATTTTTGCTTTACTTCCAATGAAGTAATGAAAGCAAGCCCAACCCACATGCGAAGTTGTATACCCCGCCCCCACCTACATGTAGCAGAATTTACCGCCAGCTAATTTTACCACGGAACATGGCCTCCCTCTGTTCACAGTGTTGGCACCAATTAGGAGACCAATGTTGCACAGACACAGAGGCTGCGGCAAACAGCCTGTGCCCAATTGAGGTGTAGGACGTCAGTGGACAGTGGTGTGGGCGGGGCTCGGAGGCCCTGGCAACTCAAGAGACATCTCTGCTGCTCTGAGCCAATACAATGCTAGTGCTAGTGCTCTCCTTGCCCGGAATTGGTTGGAGCCTGGGATCCGGCCAAAGAAATATGGGGACAGATCTGCTGCTGGGACTTCTAGGAATGGTTGTCCCAGCTGGGCGTGGTGGCACACGCCTGTAACCCCAGCACTCTGTAAGCTGAGGCAGGAGGTTCACCAAGAGTTCAAGGCCAGCCTGGAATGTGTAAGGAAACCAACCCTGTCTCAAAAAACAGAAAAAGACTGTCGCGACTCTTAGCAAGAGGTGAGCAGGCCGAGATGGTCGTCCAGCTGCCTGAGTATCTTCTGGTGGCACCTTCACTCTGCCCACCTGGGTGCCCTGGAATGGAAGGGAGGGAGGGGACACCCTGGGGCTATCGTGGCCCAGTGCATGGTTAATCTTCCCTGCCTCCTGCTGTCACCTGACAGCATACCCAGTCCCTCTGAGCCATTTTGAGTTAGGTCGTCCTGGAAGCCAGAGGTAACAGCAGTCTCACGTATCCAGGGCCAGCTGCATGGGACTGCGCATGTGTCCTCAACGTCCCACTCAGCCAGAGCTGTCTTGAAATCCGTAACTGTTCTACTGTAGGGCTCTGCACTGGGCCCCGTGGGGTGCACGTCGCCTTGGCCGTGTGTGAGGACAGGGCCCTGTGCCTGTGCACCCTACAACATGGTGTGGAGTAGGAAACCATAACAACTCTGGCAACCGGGCAAGCGCCTACCTGACTTTCGCAGCCCCTCTGGCTCCGGGTCCGGCTTTCTGTGACCACGACCCAGCCTGGGACACCAGGCTGCCTGCCACACTGCCCGGGCTCAGAGCCACCTGCCAAGGAGCAGAGGTGCAAGAAGCATGGCTCTCCTTGGCTTCACAGGCCCGGGGCTGAGGATTCCTTTGGCAGGAGTTCTGCTCCCGCCCTCCTCTGTGGCACCACTATAATTATTACTCAAAATAATAATTAAGGTCTTTTGTGTGTATGGTGCTTTGGAGCCCACAGACCCTCCAGGCATAGGCGGGCTTCGGTGCATCTCCAGGTCTACAGCCCCAGGTGCAAGAGGCTTTGGTCACGTTTATTGGATGATGGATGAGCCGGGGAGACAGGGAGCAGGAGGGAGCGGTGTCCAGGGGCTCTGGGTTGAGCACTGGTCCTCTTGGATCCCCAGCCCCAGGGGATGTTTGAGACTGGACAGTTAGGGGTCACTGCCCACAATCACAGTACACCCTGCCTGCTCATCCAGACATCTTGGCCGCGAGGCACGGGGCTGTCCCAAGGACTCCAGCAGAGGGGGAACTAGTGTCCAGGCCGGCTCCACGGCAGGCTTTTTCCAGCGATGCCCTCCTGGGTGTGTGGCAGCATAGCCTGGGGACACAGGCCTGTCCTCCCAGCACTCAGGAGGCTGATGCGCAAGCATCACCCCAAGTTCAAGGCCAGCCTAAATGATACAGCGACACTCTATCTCTAAAACAGCAACAAGGTGGAAAGGCAGGGGAGAGATCCCGCCACTTTTTTCCCAGCTGCACTGTGGAGTTTGGCCAGAGGACCGGTTTCCGGAGCTTCCATGGCCCCTGGGAGGCTGGCGGTAGAACTGTAGGAGACCTGGGCTGAGCTGGGCTTTGTCTTTCGCCAGACTCCAGAGCCGTGGGAAGTCACCAGAAGAGGGGCCTGACTGGCCCAGCAGGCTGCTGTGTGCGTCTCTCAGCAAGGAAGGCGCCTGCCAGTGGCACCGGGTGGCCTTTGAGGGACCCTCGGCACAGGCCAGACATAGTCTCCAGGAGGTTCTAGAGCGGACGTTCTGCCTCGGGGCACAGGGGCAGCGTGATCACAACAGAGGAGACCTGAGGCTGCCGGGGGGAAGGGTCAGTTTCTGTCTAACCGCTTTGTCCTGTCTCCTGTGGAGCTCCACATCTCCCTGGTCACTGGGGATGCATCCCTGGCTGAGCCCAGGGAAGGTGCTGCAGTCCTGCATTGGAGCCACCTGCCGCACATGACCCCAGCCAGGGTGAGAGGGAGGGGTGTGCTCCCAGGGTCACCTTGGGCCCAGCCCCAGGGAAGCCGTCCACAGAAGACCCGAGCACAGCCACAGACGCTAGACGTCCCTCCCCGCTCCGCACTGTCTGAGGCGCACAGGAGGAGCCCCTCCTGTGATAGCTGCCTCTCTGTTTGATGTTTCTAAGCATGGGGCGCACTTTCATAGTTGCCATCATTTTTTTTTTTTTGGTACGGGGATCAAACTCAGGACCTTGCCCCTACAAGGCAGGCGGCGGAACCACTGAGCTAAATCCCCAGCCCCATAGTTACCATTATTGCCTGCATTTTATTAAACGTGGGACAAGATAAACCTCTGGCCAACCCTCATGGTTGACAGGAGTTATGTGGGTCCTGGGCAGGAGCCACCCCGGCCTGTCTCCCCACAGCCTTGACTTGTGAGGGCCTCTACGGAAGACAAGTGATTTGATGTGGGCTCTTGAAGTGCAGGCCAACAGCTCATCCCTCCTGTCAGATTCC